TTTTCTTTCAGACAATTTGAGATTATCAAACATCTTTTTACCTGTAATAATCATATAAAAACTACTATCTTTACCTGTTAGCTCTGGTTCTTCAAGTGGTCATCTGTGAATTCACACTAATGGGTTAATCTGTGCCTGAGCAGAACAGCTTCGGAATCTTCTAGAGCTTCTAGAGCTTAAGCACATGGTGCTGGGACCTCCCACATGCCAGCTATAACCCCACCCCCAGCACCCAGTGCCTCAGTTCCATAGAACTGTCCACCGCTGTACAGTATATTAACAAGTAGTTGTGATGTACAGCGGGGAGGAGGGTGGGATGTGTGAATTCACAGGGGATCACTCGAAGAACCAGAGTTACAGGTAAGTAACTTCTTTTTCTCCTTTGTGGTCTCTGTAAATGCACACTAATGGGTGATTAGCAAGCTGACTTACCAGGAGGTGGACGTCACAACAGGAAAGAAGCCAACACAGCTCTTCCCACAACAGCTTCTGCCTTGGCCTGGACATCGAGACGATAGTGCGCTGCAAAGGTGAAAGGCGTGTACCACGCTGCAGCCTTGCAGACATCAGTGAGGTCAACACCATGCAGGAACGCCATGGAAGAAGCAACCGGTCGAGTGAGCTCAAACAGTGGAAGGCAAAGGTTTGTGGGCAATCTCATACACCAGCTTGATTGTAGCAATGACCCATCTGGAAAAGGTTTGAGATTAATCCGGGGATCCTTTAGAGTGCTCTTGAAATGACACAAATAGTCTCTGAGAAGAGCGAAAAGACTCAGTCCTGGAAACATAGTAGGCCAGGGCCCTTTTAACATCCAGGAAATGGAGTGATTTTTCCAAAATAGTCGTAGGGTTAGGAAAAAAGGTAGGCAGAACCACCAGCTGATTGAGGTGGAAAGATGAGGCCACCTTTGGGAGGAAAGAGACATCTGGAAACAGAGTCACTTTGTCAGGGTGAAGCTGCATAAAAGGTGGGTTCAGCCACAGCGCCGGGAGTTCACTGACACGCCTTGCCGAAGTGACAGCAAGTAGAAAGGCCATCTTGAAGGTAAGTAGTCTCAATGACATGGAAGCCAAAGGTTCGAATGGAGGAGACATCAACTTACGGAGGACCAGCTGAGGAGACAATTGTGGCGTGGGAGACTTGTAAGCTGGTCGCATGTTGCGGAGACCCTTCAGGAATTGTTTTAGCGTAGGATGTTGAAACAGCTTGGCTGCATCAGAGGGGGCTGATAAGCCACTATCGCAGAAATGTAGATTTGCAGTATAGAGTATGACAAGCCATGCTGAAAAAGGAGAAGAAGAAACCTCAGAAGAGAGTCCAGTGATGTAGGGCACACAGGTAAGTTGTGTTCAGCCGCAAAATCACAGAAAGATTTCCACTTTCGCGCATACGTAGCCAAAGTAGAAGGCCCACGGGCTCGGCTAAGGATGTCCTTTATCGTAGGTCCAGCCTCCAAGCTGTGAGATGCAGGGAGTCCATATCCAGATGGAATGTCCTGCCATTGTGAAGGGAGAGCAGATCAAGGTTCAGGAACTGAAAGTGATCCACAGCCATCAGGAGGATGTGGCATTTGTAGCACCATTCCCAGACTTGGATTGTGAGATATAGCAGCCATTGGGAGTGTGCACCTCCTTGCTTGTTCAGATAGCACACTACTGTGGTGTTGTTGGAAGCCAACTGTAACACGTTCCCCGTGAGAAGGCGCTCAAATGCCCAAAGAGCCTTGAAAACAGCCATGAGTTCCAGAACATTGATGTGAAGACAGGCTTCTTCTGGAGACCAGTGACACTTCGTAAACACCATTGGCAAGGTGGACAACCCATACGGTATAGCCTTGAACTCATATATTACGCCATCCAATGAGATGTTTGATAATGAGAAGCTGTTTGATAATGAGAAAGATTTTGATAATGAGAAGTGGAGAAAATGCCAGTACTCAGGATGGATGCTGATGTGAAAGTAAGCATCCTTGAGGTCAATAAGAACAAACCAGTCTCCTTGCCTGAGCATCTGGATAGTACCATCAAGGGAGACCATGCAAAAACATTGAGGCGTAATGTAAAAATTCAAAGGTCTGAGATCGAGGATAGGTCGAAGTCCACCACCTTTCTTGGGTATAATGAAGTAGCGTGAGAAAAAGCTGCTTGAGATGTCAGGATTTTCCACCAAGATGATGGCATTCTTAGAGAGTAGCTTGTCTACCTCCTCATGGAAAAAAGGTGAAGTCTCTGTTTTTCTGACAAAACCTGTGCAAGATGTGGAGTTGAACTCATTTGCATAAGCAGTGGTAATGATAGTGAGAACCCAAGAGTCAGTGGTGATAGCCCTCCAGGCATCAAAAAATTGGGCTAGTCTAACCCTGTGAATCAGTGGTGCTGGCAGCCTCAGAAGGCTAAACTGGCTGCCTGGCTTTCTGGTCCTGGTGATGGAACTGTTGGTGTTGTCTCTGCCTGCCAGCTTGTTGGTGGGACTGACCTCAGGAAGTCCCCTGTTGAGACCTGGACCTCAAGGAATAAGACCTGCGCCAGGAACCCCTAGATGTAGACTGGGCTGAGATGGACCTGGCCGTCTTCCTATGTTTAATCAGGCTTTCCAAGATCTCATCCATCTTTGGATCGAAGAGCCCTGCCCATCAAAAGGGAGATCTGGTTCTTCACATCGTCTGTGATGGATGCAGATCAGAGACACACATGTCTATGGAGGGCAACCGCAGTGGCCAGCTGTTTTGATGAAATGTCCACAATATGCCTGGCAGCTACCCTCTCCTGGTGGTGTGTGAGACAAGTGCCTCTCAACTCCTCTGGTGCAGCACCGAGGGCAGGGAGGACTGCATTCCACAAATGTCTGTGATATGCCCCCATGGCAGCAAGATAGTACTTTACCCACAAAGTAAAGGTGGTGAAGGAATAGGCCCTCCAGCCCAAAGTGTCCAAATTCCTGCCCTCCTTGTCTGAAGGGGTAGATGAAATCTTGGACTGAGTTCTGGTGAACCAGTCCCGTGAACCTTGTAAAGGTTCTGAACCCAACGCGGCACCTGCTGAGAGGTTGAAGGTCTATCCCAAGACTCCTTAGCTAGACTGAGGAGAGAGGGAATGGAAGCCAACCTGATGGGTGCGAGCTAGTCTTTGGTCATATCTTCAAAGATCTTGTCCGGTTGCTCCAGCTGCGGCTGGACCACTGCCAGGTCCAGAACATCTGCAGTCCTTTTAATCACCTGGGTATAGGAAGTGTAGTCCTCCTATGGAGAGGGAGGATGACTGCCAGTGGTGACTAATGCTAAAGTAGGGGAGTCAGGGCGAGAGGTGTCTCTGATTTCCCCTTTGTCTGAGCCCGAGTCAGACCTGGGGTCCTGGGTGAGGGGTAAGATGATCAGGGGGCTGTTCTTTAGCCCGAGGCTGTGAAGGAGGGTCAGCTGGTCTCTGGAAGCAGTCCTCTATGTAGGGCGAGAACCACTGGAACTGACAACAAAAAGCCTACTATTGCTGAAAAGCAAAAAGGCAGCTGGGTAAAAAGGCGTTGGAAAAGCCGAACTCTCGAGCTCGAAGCCTCGAGCCCAGAGGGTGTTGACAATCTCCCTGCAATGGTCGAGGTGGAGCCAGCTCAGGCTCAACATGCCTCATCTTCCTTTTTCTCTTCTGAGGAGGAGGGGCCATGGGCTCAGAAAGAGGAGGGAGCAGAGTCACCGATCAAGCCCTAGGAGAAACCTGCGGTGACCCAGAGGATCAGCTTGGCACAGGAGAAACTGGTGCCACCGTTCCTGAGGGTGGAATGAGCTTGCGGTCCATCACCTCGAGCTCAATAAACGGTAAGGGAGCTGGGGGGCAAGATGGGGCCACTGCCAACACAGCCCTCTTTTTCTTTTTTGACCGGCCTGGGCTTGAGGGAGGCCTCGACACTGCCACGGAGGCCGTCGACTTCAAGCCCAAGGAGGAAGATTTCCCTGGTCTCTTTGATTGTGGTGGAGAGTGCCCAGAAACAGAAGAAGCCTCAGACAGCAGGGTTCTCAGGGGGTCCATGGCAGACGGGTCAAGAGACTTTGACCAGAGGAACGCCATCAGCTTGTCTTGCCTGCGCTTTAGGGCAGCTTTGGTAAAGGCCTTGCAATGGACACAAGAGGCCAGCTGGTGCCCTTCCCCCAAACAAAAGAGGCACTTGGAATGGCTGTCCTTAATAGTCACTTTCGCATTGCAGGCCGCACAGCGCTTGAAAGAAATTTCATAGGCCAAACACACCCCAAACTCAGTTTTATGCTTCAGTCCAACTCACAAAGCAGAAGAGTCAACAGTCCGGTCCATGGTTAAATGATGGGAGGTCCAATAATGAATGTTTGAGGAACAAGTGAAATTGCAAAGAAGCTCCGGCCGATGCTGCTACAGTGGCAGCAGGAAACGGAACTGAGGCACTGGGTGCTGGAGTTGGAGGTATAGCCTAGGTGGGAGGTCCCGGCACCAAGTGCTTAAAGTTATAGAAGCTTCCGAGAATGCTCTGCTCACATGCGGATTAACCCATTAGTGTGCATTCACAGGGACCACTAAGGAGAAACCATATCAGCAGTCTCGTAGGAGAAAGTGTAGCAGTGATTTTCCAGTGAAAAAATAGTGGGAAAACAAGGCATGTTCCCTGAGGAAGAGTCTGAGCATTAAAAAGAATTAGGTTGGGAATCGGGGAGAGAAAGCCCAGCACAAGGTTAGCTTTTCTTCCTACCATATTCCTTGACTTCGAACGGTGTGCTGAAGCTCTCCTCTGGGGAGTCTTGATACTTGGCCACAACCTTCCAGGTCCCCAAACTAGAAAAAGAAAATGAAAAATTTCTTCTACACAAACATACCTGCCCCTTCTGAGCAATACAGTAGGAGCCCCCATGGATACAAAAATCTGTAGATAACTGGAAATGATATACATAGCATGGTCTCTGGCTCCACCTAGTGGCCACGTCTGGTAACTACATTGTGAAAATACATATTTCTGAGATTTTTTCTATTAATATTTTTAATATTTTCAAACCATAGATAACCAAAAGCATGGATATCAATCCTGCAGATATGAAGGTCTTACTCTACCTGTGATCACACATGCTAGGAATCAACTAAAATGGAGCACCCCACCCCACACCAAAAAAACAGTAGTCCCTGCAGATTATTCAAAAAGGACTGTTTTCACACTCAAATGGGCCAGGCTGGCACAAAGAAATAGACCACACTTCACAGTATGTTCAGCAGATCAAAACAGGGGAAAAATCGAAGTGTAGCTGGCCTTCAAGACCAGCAGTAGCAACTACAGTGGTGCCTCACAAAACAATGTTAATTCGTTCTGCGAAAATCGCTGTCTTGCAAAAACATCGTCTTGCAAAACGCGGTTCCCCATTGGAATGCACTGAAATCTATTTAATGCATTCCAATAGTGAAAAAATCATTGTCTTGCAAAAATTGTCCATAGAAAACATCGTCCTGCGAAACACAGTTCCCCATTGGAATACATTGAAATCTATTTAATGTGTTCCAAGGGGGGGGAACCATCTTGCGACGCATTGGTCTAAAAAAAACCCCTTTCTTGCGAAGCACAGACCCAAACATCGTCTAGCGAAAATCACCCATAGGAGAAAACGTTTGCGAAGCGCAACAGCAATCGCAAAAAACCTATCATCTTGCAGATTAATCATCCTGCAAGGCAATCATCTTGCGAGGCACCACTGTACTACAAAAATGCAATATGTGTGACTGCTCAGATTATTCTTAGCTTAATATTAAATGGATTTTGTTCTTTTTTATAAAAAGCTCAGATTCTGTGCAGGTTTGCAGTACTGCAATCTGTGGTAAACTACCTGACAAGTTCTGGTATGTTGTAAGTCTGGGCAACTGCTGAACTGATCATCTTCTGGCTGACAATAATATCTTCTGGTGTCTGGATGGAGAAAAAGCAAGTTGTTTAAAATGTTTGATTGCACGAAAAATGCCTGAACATATTATTCATTTCTCACATATAGAGATGGGCACAAACCTTGTTTTAGAGCTCCATGCTGGTTTGCATGTGTGGCACCAGAGGTTTCCTTCCCCCCACCTCCCTGGCTGAATCCAGCACCCACTAGCTTTTCTCCTCCTCCTCTTTAGCTGTTCAACCAGTCTCTGGCTGGAGTACAGGGTTCCCTGCCCCACCTCCTCGGCTGTTCACCCACTCAGGCAAGGAGGCAGGATAGGCAAACTCCAGCTGGAGACTGGTCAATGAACTGAACAGGAAGAGGAGAGCAGCATGTGTTGGCTGGTGAGTAGGTCACTGGCCAGGGAGGCAAGGGAAGAGAAAGTGAGGCACCTTTGGTGCTAATCACACAAACTGGCACATACCTCAGACTCACATCATAAGAGTTCTTGTGAAGCACAAGGTTTAGCCTGCCTCTACAATCGTTTTCTGCTATCAGGATGCAGAGAAGCTAAGTAATGTACAAGACAGAGCACTGAATCCAGACTCTCAGGACCTAGATCCAAATCCCAATACAGCCACAAAACACAACTGGCTGGCCCTGGGCTAAGCCATAACTCTGAACTGCCTTGGGGATAAAAGTGGCCATGTCCACTTCAAGCATATCATGAATATGTAAGACATATATTAATATGGCGAAAGCAACCTTTCAGAGAAATGCATCTTTCCCGCTCTTACATAATTTCCTCCCAACCACGTGAACTGCTTTGTCATGCGTAGCTCCATAATTAGACATGCAAAGGAAGCCACTTTATACATTTCCAAAATAATCCCAGGGAAACATATGCTTCCTTCTGAACATGTATTCACATTTGCCTCTTTTACCTGCTTGATGGAGCATGCCTCCTAGAATGAGATTTCACTGTGCTTTGGTGGAATTGGGCAGCATTTGCTTTTTTTTTTTTTAAATCCTGATTGAAGATTTAATAAAAGCACACACAAGATATCCCTGCCAAAAATGCTATGAAGGTCTTCCTCAGTTATAAACACATTCCCACAAAACTATGCAAGAAGACCAACAGTCACTGATTATCCACATGATGATATCTATGGCACACACTTGAACACATAATCAAAGATACAACTGCTATTCTTCCTTTTTCTTTTTTTATTGAACACACAATACTTACCACAATCTCAACAACCACATGTTTGTCCAAACGTTCCATGCTGTGACCCACAGAAAAGATACGGTAGCGCACTGAGAAAGAGACAAGAGGTTATTATTTAGTGGAGATGACTTCACAAGGTGGAAAATATAAAACTCCTTTTCTCTGCAGCTGTTTGATGTCTCACTGAGTCTCAAAAGCCAAGCACTGGAAATTTATCCAGCAATCTCAACAACCACATGTTTGTCCAAACGTTCCATGCTGTGACCCACAGAAAAGATACGGTAGCGCACTGAGAAAGAGACAAGAGGTTATTATTTAGTGGAGATGACTTCACAAGGTGGAAAATATAAAACTCCTTTTCTCTGCAGCTGTTTGATGTCTCACTGAGTCTCAAAAGCCAAGCACTGGAAATTTATCCAGAAAGGTCAAACATTAATGTACTGCACATCCTTTTGCATCCTTTTGCTTCACAGACAGCAACAATCTCCAGGGCTTCAGAGAAGAGATCCAGGTCACTTTCAACAACACCTTTTCTTCATCTCCAGATCACCTTCACCTGGTTTATCTGACTTACTGAGAGAACTCTATTTGTTTGGCCTTGCCTTTTGAGGATACAACAGAATGGGAGGTGGAACAGAAATGGATCAGCTGCAAAGCTGCACCTGGGAAGTTTTGTTTTAAAGGCTTGGTGTCTTAGCTCTAAGACAGGTCAAAGAGGGAAAACAACCCAGGCAAATTGGTAGAAAAACAGAAGGAAGTTTTCACATCAGCTTTGCTTTCACCTTGTTGAGGGGGGAAAAAGAGGGAAGAAGGATATTTTAAGGTAATTCTTCTCACCCAGATTTGCAGGATGCAAGGTTAAAGCAGAGCTACCTTAAAACTTTCTCCTCTCTCTGTATGTCTTTGTATGTGTGTATGCTTCAGTTGCCTTAGACTAGATTAGCAAGCCCTGTGAAGGAAAAGGAAAAGCAAAGATACTAAATGGGAACGAAGGTGAAAGCAGCACCAAGCACGGGGAAGAGAGGGTTGAAGGCAACCTCTTTCCTTGATGCACTGCCTCTCTCACTGCTGCTGTTGGCAAGCTACAAATCCCTCCACTATCACCTCAAGCAATCATGCTGCCCGAACCAAATGTACTCAATTCCAAAAAGTAGAAGCGCCAGTAATGGAGGAAAAAACTATGGGATGGGGTAGGGTAACTCCTACATGATTTGCATTAACTTTTACATTATGTAGACAATGGAAAACACTGCAAATCAGCCCATCCCAATCCAAGAGTATTTCTTGTATTATTTGTCAATGTAACCATACTCTGACTCTGTTTTTAGACTTCCCTTGCCTGGTTTATCAGTTCACTGGATGTGCCCTGCCTATATTGCCCTCAAAACTCTTGAAGAACCAACCAGTGGGACTAGACTTTGGAAACACAACACGGTAGACAAAGAATTCAACTCCACCAACAAAATAACCCGGAAACCACCTTTCTTGAATTTTATAACTACCTTGACTTTACTCATTGGCCACAGCATCCTCTTGGACGTAATTTTTCCTTTCATAATCTGCGATACACATTCCAGCAGCACATCAGTTATTTCATTTTTCAGTTTATGTATTTTTATTTAAGAGTAGCTAGCAAAAGGGTTTGTTGCATTTTATTGTATTGTTGTATCATTATACAGTAATTTTTATGAATTTACTGTCTACTGTGAATAACCCAGAGAGTGCCAACATTAATGTGGTACTATAGAAACGGAAAATGATGAATGAATGAATAACTGCTAAGCATAATAGAGAGATCTGACTGTGGCGTCTGCTCAGGTCATGACTATTCATATGCTATCTGCATAGACCAATGGGAGTGCTGGAGGGGCGGAGTCACGAGATATAAGAGACTCAGCAGCAGGAGGGGAAGAGTTAGCGTAGATAGGAAGTTAGACAAAGTAAGAGTCAGAGAGATTGAAAGTTTTGGAGTTTGGGCAGGAGAGTGGTGGTTAAGAGGGATAAAGGAGAATGTTTAAGAGTTAACAGCACTGCTTGTTCTATCAACATCTGTAACAATAAACAATTTCTATTTGGTCTTTTTAAAATGACATATGGCCTGGACATCTACCATTAATAATAGATAATTACAGTATTATGAATTCAAGATGGCATTCTGATAGTCGGACGGGAGAGTTTCCCTGCCGCTTTGGTCTGTTTTTTGTTTGTTTGTTTGTTTGTTTTGGCTGCTTTGTTTTCATTATTCCTTTGAACTGCTCTCCCTCATCTGGTAAGCATCCTAGTGTTTGCTGAGCTGTTCCGGAGGATGTTTTGGAAGGCAGGGAGGAGAGCTTGCTATGAGGCAGAGCCAAGATGGCATTCTGATAGTCGGACGGGAGCGTTTCCCTGCCGCTTTGGTCTGGCGCTGTGAGGCTTGTTCGGAGCCTGGTGTTGTGAGGCTCGGAAGAACCCAACTGCAGGCTTGGTGAGCCCGGCGCCAGGGGTTGAGAGACACAGCCCAGCGCTGCATGGCTCGGGAAAATCTCACCCCACGAAGCTTGGTGAGCCGGGTGCTAAAAGACTGAGAGGCGCAGAGAGGCTTGGTGGAATCTTGGAGCTGGGAGGCTCATTGGAGCCCAGCATCATGGGGCTCTGCCAGATGGTGGCTCCAGATGGTATTGGCAATGGTGGAGGCAGAGTGAGCTGAGGCGGCAGTGCTGTTGTTACTCATTCAATAAGCCTCCGGAACATTTGCTCTGTGAGTTCTGTGGTTCCGTTATCGACAATAGCCATAGAAATCGCTCTCCCTCACCTCTTCACTTGGTATGTTCAGTGAGGGTTTTTCGTCTGACCGCCTGCTGTGGAGAATGGCAACAGTGGCGCCTTTTTTCTTTCATTTCTCCTGCTACCTTTATTTCACCTTTTTATCCTCGGACCATGCTTTGCTTGCAATCACTCCTCCCATAAACATATTCTAACAGCCTCCTTGGAAAAGATAAGATCAACAGCCAAATTGCAATGGGACAGGACCTGGTTGTGGAGGGACATCTTGGTTTTATATTATTTTATTTTATTTTTACTTTATTTTATTTCATTTTGTTTCACTTTACCCTGGTTCTTTTGACCTCACTCATCTTTATTAAACAAACTTATACTCTTACACTTAGAGGTAGGGTGGTCGGATGGGGGCCTCAAACTCAATTTCTTTAACTCAGGGGCCTCAAACTCAATTTACCTGGGGGCCATTGGAGGCAGAGTCTGGGTGTGGTTGGGCTGCATCAGATTTTCCACCAAGCGGAGCA